GTACTTTGTATGTACAGTTGTTATCGTAGGCGCTCAAATGACACTGTAATTATCTTCAGACAAGACGCAATCCGCCAAACTATCACAGAGATAGTAAGGTAATTATTTCAGCCGCAAACATCCTCCAACTCATAACTTTCAAAGTATTGGGAATGCAGCTGCGAATATATCTCGAAAGTAAACAGTTCTCTAAGTCTTCGACATTGATGCTGACACATTCTATCTGAAGGTGCACAGCCACTCGTCCGCACCGAGTTACGTGTAGCTACTCCATGATATTCACCTTTTGCGACCACTGACAAACTTAGAATAAATGCTTCTCAACACATCATAACCTGTCAAATGTATCTTCCAACTCAATAGTTCCTGACTTCTGGTTTCATTGAGTTGGTACTCTTATATTGTAGTTATGTAGCGGACAAGAGAGTTTTCAAACCCTGAATATATGTGGCACCATTTGAGGCATTTTCGACACTCAACACCAAAAGATCAGGGGATTGAATTATCACGGCAGTACAGTACTCTATCACATATAACAACTAGTCGATTAAACAGGGAATTATTTTTGATAACAAGCATTTGATGAAGTTTTAGCAGTTATCCACTGTTTTCGATTATTTTCATTTGTTATTTCTGGTGGTTTGGAGGTCTATATTTCATATCAGTATGTCTCACAACGTTTCGTGAGTACGAGAAAAGCCTACAATCAAATAGCAATAATGCCTAATTTCTTTCTTCAAAGAAATAAGAGAAGAACTCGTGTAATACATAAGCTTCTTACTACATAGACTTGGGACTCAGGGAATAATGTGTTCGCTTTATTTCCTAGAGAATTTTGAGAATTGAAGCTCCAACGCGCTATTTCATCCTCTGCGGAACATGTCATAAATTCGGACTGTAATGTGTCTATAGTAAAAGTTAGTATTTCGGTTAATAATATTGTGTTCTGCTCCAGATTGTTCCATAATGTAGACTTTACTAAAAATTTCAGGGTGTAACAAAATTTTGTACTTGGTATATTGTAAAGTGTTGATTTCGGGGTTTCCATGGAAATGAGCCCATCCGTTCTTTTTACAGCCTTGATATATATTCAAATCCACTTGTTTAATCAACTGAAAATTATCTTTTTTTCTGTGAGTTGCCATGTTGACTTAATCAGCAAAAATTTCTGATCCCCTTCATTTAAATGTAGATGATCAGAAATTTTTTTGAAACAATTGTTTCTTGCTATAGCAAAACATCAAACTAATTATCATGATAATCAGCTTGATTTTATTTAAACGACTTGTTGTTAAATGTCCTCTGCACATAATACAATGTATTATGTTCTAAACACAACACAGGGTGGAGGGTATATACCCCTTCAAAGAGCTATATAGCTCTTTGAACATTCCTACCACTACCTACCAAAATTTACTTGTTGAACTTGTCTTATTCCCGTTGGGTTATTCATGCAATAACCATACCTGGCTTACCAATTTTGGGGAACTAGTTCAGTTGGTTTTGAGTCTTCTTGTATCTTGAATGTAACCATCAACTATAGTCGACCTATTTGTGCACCATCACCAATAACATCTTATGTGAGAAATGACTTTCAAGGAAAGGATATTCCTCCCAAAACATCTTTTCACCAATCAAAATTTAACTATGGCTAGGGTCTATAAACCTAATTAATCTATTTTAAACCTAGAAATACTTCACATATCCCACCACCATTTATAACAATTATAAAATCTTATTTGTTATGAAGATTTCCGGAGATGGTAAATAGTATGATCTTGATTACCCACTGTGACACTACTTCTCGACTCGTCATGCCTATTTGAAAACAGTCATTCTCTCAACAAAGCACTAAGCTGTAACTGAACAGTTTTTATAACTTGGTCCCCAAATGCCCTAGTATGGCCGATAGCGGTGTGGGCTCGCCCTCCCTCTCGAAATACTCTCGTACGGCCACGCGTATACAGCCTCTGCCAGGGAAGTCTTTCTCACTGCCTTCTCATGGAGGGGGTGTTATTTACGAAAATGCGAGGATGAAAAGTGAATGTCCGGCGCTTTAACCGGATCCCAAACCAAATCAATGGTGCACATGGGCTCCAGTATCTTGTGGGAACAAATGGCGTATGAACCAATCGTTGGTCAGCGGCTACCATGAGAATGCGTCTCCTCACGATGCTCTACTTCCTTGTGGGTTAGACCTTTAGGTCAAAGGCTCGGAGCGTGGCCCTCTAAGAAAACCACCTGCTTCGGTCTGGGCACCCGGGCAGTATCACAGCCCACGCACAATTATGATGAACTATCTATATTTATAGAAAATACTATTCCTGCTGCGAATAACAATCAGATAATTCACATTATTATCGTTACTATTATTGTTATTATTATTTACTACGTCATTTATTCACACTTTTATTCCCACTCTGTGTATACTTGTTTTTCGACTTATACAGCAGCTCGCCTATGGTAGAAATTCGGCTCTATCTAAACGTTCTCGAGCCACTGCCTGGTTGGAAATTGTATGCTTACACCAAGTACGAGTACTGAAGCAGCTTTTCTGAAACCACGTGCACCATTCAAACTGGTTGCCTTCAACGTTCGCACACTTATAAAGGTCAGACAGCAGATAGGGCCGGTTATGTCTTTGGAAAGTTTTAATATCGATGTTTTTTGTTTATCCGAGACCCGTATTCAAGACTCTAGGGAAGTACTTCAAATTCGCTCTCCATCTGTCGCTTCAAAAAGCTTGTTTTTATGTGCGTTTATCCGGCGACCCTGTGGCATCTTCGTCTGGTCTTGCTGGCGTTGGCGTCGCACTAAGCGCTAGAGCTGAGGCAGCACTAATCGATTGGATCCCCATTAACAGTCGGTTATGTGCTGTTAGATAAGAGAGTTCCATCAAAGTGAGAAGAAATCGACGTGAGAAACGATGTCTTTTCAACATCTCCGCCTATGCTCCGACAGATTGCAGCCCGGATGCAATCAAGGATGAGTTTGACTACCAGTTATCTGTTCTTTTCCAGAAAGTGCGTTCGACAGATATTGTAGTATTAGCCGGAGACTTGAATGCTCAGGTCGGTCGTCTAGGCACAGAAGAGAGTCGTTTAGGTGGCCGATGGGGACTTGTTGGTCGCAGGACAGATAACGGGGACCGTCTATTGCAACTATGCACAGACCACAACCTGTTTCTGGCTAGCACTAACTTTTGGCACAGTCATCGCCGATGTGCCACCTGGCGTCCTCCCTCTGCATATCAAACCTGGACTCAGATTTAACACATCGCCATCAGCTACCTCTGGCGTGGTTGTGTACAAGACTGCCGCTCCTTTTGGAGTACCTATCTGGACTCTGATCATGCCTTGGTCTGCGCCAATCTTGCCTTACTTTTCAGTGGACAACGAAGTGACCGCCAACAAAGGATTGATATTAGCAAGCTGAAGGCCATATATACAAATAACTCAGGCAGAGTGAGGGCATACAACCACCTCTCTCCATTGTTCCATTCGAGCAGTGGGGTTAGACAGGGTTGCCCAATCTCACCATTCCTCTTCAACTTTGCCATCGATGACATTCTGGAAACAGCTCTGGTGGGTGTAAGTAATGGCGGTGTGGATCTGTTGCCTGGAGAAAGACTTCTCGACCTTGAGTATGCGGGTGATATTGTCTTACAGTGCGAAAATACCCAGTGCATGCAATCCACACTTAATCAGTTGGCAATCAGTGTCCGTAGGTATGGTATGTGCTTTGCACCTTCGAAGTGCAAAGTACTTCTACAAGAATGGTAGGATCCTAATCCTATACTCACCCTAGATGGTGAGCAGATAGAAGTAGAAGAGAAGTTCGTGTATCTAAGTAGCTGCATAAGTGCTGGTGGTGGCGTGAGTGATGAGATCAATGCACGTATAGTGAAATCCAGAGCGGCTTATGCCAACCTGGGCCACCTTTGGCGCCTTCGTGGTGTCGGCCTGGCTGTAAAAGGTCGGATCTACAGCGCGCCGGTGAGAGCAGTTCTACTCTATGCTTGTGAAACCTGGCCTCTCCGAGTTGAGGACGTTAGACGAATCTCTGTGTTTGATCATCGCTGTCTCCGAAGTACTGCTGACATCGAGTGGCAACACCATGTCAACAATTCAGAGGTTCGGCATCGTGTGTTCCGGCACAGAGACGATAATCCAATTGGTGTCACCATCTTGAAACATCGACTTCGGTGGCTTGGACATGTTCTACGAATGTCGTCACAGAGAATTCCAAGTCGTACATTATTTGCCGACTCTGGGACTGGTTGGAAAAAGCAGAGAGGTGGTCAGTGTATGACATGGTGTCGTGGTATGAAATAAAGCTGCAAAGGGCTGGCTTCTGTTGGTCCTTCACGACTCCCTGGCTGGGGTCCGAGAGATGGTGTAACATAGTGGTTAGGGACGTTATCAGATATGGCTCAGAATAGAAGCCAGTGGCAATCCTTCTGCATCGTTCGTTTACCTTCTTCATAAAAAGTGGTTGTATCTTCCTTAACTGAAAGATTTCTTCTGATTGTATGTTTCTGTTTCCCCATTATTATTATTATTATTATTATTATTATTATTATTATTATTATTATTATTATTATTATTATTATTATTATTATTAATATTACACTGCCGTACACTAATCTGTGGTCGTTATTGTTCATCGTTGCTTTCTCTTGCGCTCCTTACCTCCTTTTTTTCTTCCTATTCTCATTGTTTTTTGTGGCGCATATATATTTGGTGCCACTTCTACCAGTATTGATGTGTTCAAATAAATAAATAAACAACGTTAGAGGTTGATTGTCCCAAAATTCAAACATCCTTATGATTCGGTTTAAATACCTTTTTATCCTTAATGTGATAATTCACTTGTTTTCTTGTTGTTAAAGGTCACTGTACTAGCCAAACGGAATTATTTTCATGCGTACATAGTGAACGCCGAAGTAATAACAAACAAATCAGGATTTTGGAACCTGGTTTCAGTTTTGAACCACTGCAATGGATATTTCCAACATTATTAGGGGTGTATTCATTCGAATCTTCTTGGCTTTACTTATACTGTCTGTCATCCTTAAAGTTGTGAAGGAAAAATTGTATGTTTCCTATTTAAGTAAAATAATTGGCTTTAAAATATAGCATCTTATGGTTGTATGGCCAAAACGCTGATTCGGGAATGTCTGTGTTAACAAGAGGATATATGATATCTGATTTATCGACAAAAAGATTGAGAAATAGTTCTGTGATAACTAGCTTTCAGCCGTCTAGCAGTAATATGTATGGTGAGAGTTAATTACTATTTGACTGACAACTTTAGGTGATCCAATTCGAGTAACTGTTTCTAGCATTAAAGCTGTCGAGTTTTGTGTCTTACGTGATGTCTCATTGTCTTCTTTCCATGACATGTTGACTAGTGACCACAAAAATCTTAGAGATTATATTGTTACCAACGCTACCGAAAGACATACTGTAAAGTAAGTCTTCGTTGTTTATACTAACTCGATTATAGACCTGGAAGTCAAGACATATCCATAAACGTGAACGTTCAGTCTTGCCCTGATCATTCGAAACGAGATAAATATTCAATTGTTATTGGTCTAGTTTCAAGTACTCTAGATTCACTGGATGAGGAAATAGTAAGTTTAAAAATTCGAATGTAAACTATATGGGACTTAACAGATGAACTAATGTTATTTTAAGCTTATTTGTAGTAACCGTAGTGCGAAAATGCATTCTTTGAACAGGTTTTTGTCCAGATAGTGTTTTCAAAGAACAATGTTTTTCCCGTTACAGCAACATATGTTGATTAATGTTCAACTTATAACTGTCAACATTATGGACATCACTTTAAATCTTAATGTGTGACCAAATACAATGGATGGGTGCTATTCTATTCTGGATAAATTCATTTGTAATAGTCTTTATTTCATCCCAGTTTATTGGTTGGTTAAAGTGAGATCAGCAGCTGTTTACTACTAGTCAGACAATAATGTGCTTGTAATTATTCAACTAATTATAAACCTTATCTACTCTTTGTGAAGCCATTACCAATTACTGTCTCAAGTTAGCTTCATCATATCTAAGCTAGCTTCCTGCATCCATTCCAAAATTTCTTTAAACATCAACCCGTCAGTTATTGATGCGAGCTCTAGGATACGTAGTTGGCGCACAAAATTACTTCGCTTCCTATCATTAGTTTAGGCGCTGAAGCAGACCAGCCCTATAGCAACGTTTTGAAGGAGGTTAAAGTTTATTAAGTATTCCATGTATCATTCCGATCATTTACTCAGGAGCAGCTTAGGGTGAATAGTCACACCTATTGTCAAATTGAGTAAAGACAACTAATATCTTCATATAAGTTTGAATGTGTAAAATTCAACTCAAGAAAATACCTCACAACTATTAGCATAATGATAAACAACTGTTCTTGTTATTGTTCCAATAAAATCTATAGAGATGAAGAACTATGTCGATCAACAAAGATAGATTTCTGTTTAAATTGAGCTGGCGCATACAGATTATATGTTGTAGAGATTAAAAAAACTGGTTTCCGAACCCTGTGGTACAAACTGGATGAGTGGGATACAAACTATCTTTGGAATTCATCTAACATAAAAATCCTTCTAACGTTGCTCCACTACCTTGAGAATTAAATTTCCTATTAAGACGTTTAAGGGGTTCCTTACGAAAACACTTTGATCACTTGAGCAGTACTGCAGTTGTAAGAAAATTCATGACATTTGTCAATGAAGAAAACCAAAAATGATGAGTCGGATTTTCAAAAAAAGAAGTCAAATGTCCTGATGGTTGTTTCGTACATCAATCATTCATAACGATTCATGTCAATTTAATGATATCAGACAATCTTTTTTATTTGAACACAAATGTTGGCACAAGGGGGCACCAGATACATATGCACCACACAATAATAATGAGAATGGGAAGAGACAAAGAATGTTAGGTGCGTGTAAAAGAAAAAGAGAACAATAACGACTAAAAATTAGTGTATGTTAGTGAAATAATAATAATAGGGAAACAGAAAGGTACAACCAGAAGAAATCTTTCAGTTAAAGAAGCTACAGTCACTTTTTGTAGAGAAAGTAAACGAACGATGCAGAAGGATTGCCACTGGCTTCTATTCTGAGCCATATCTGATAACGTCCCTAACCACTATGTTACACCATCTCTCGGACCCCAGCCAGGGAGTCGTGAAGGACCAACAGAAGCCAGCCCTTTGCAGCTTTATTTCATACCACGACACCATGTCATACACTGACCACCTCTCTGCTTTTTCCAACCAGTCCCAGAGTCGGCAAATAATGTACGACTTGGAATTCTCTGTGACGACATTCGTAGAACATGTCCAAGCCACCGAAGTCGATGTTTCAAGATGGTGACACCAATTGGATTATCGTCTCTGTGCCGGAACACACGATGCCGAACCTCAAATAATCACATCTGGTTAAATAACTTATACGATCTTGTATTTCAAACGTTTTGTCATAAAAATGTCAGTTAGAAAATCATATATTTCAGTTTTATTGTGAATTAAAATCTCATTTCATACACAAAGTCCTTTTTTTAACTTGAATAGAGCAGGAACAAAGATTATAGCAGAATATAACATGATTTCATTTTGTTTAGTTAGTTTCTCATGGGGTGCTTAGAACGTATAATATTTTAAAATTAGATCACACATGGAAGTTTATATCTTTATATAAGTGAAGATGGCTAAGATTGAATATATATATCATTAGTCAGTCGAAGCTAGACTACCATGAAAAACCTGGATGCTCACTAGTGACTGGCTTCAAGAGGTATATCCTGGAGTTCTAGTTGAGAGCAGTGATCAGTGGTGTTCAGTTGGGTCTGTTGTGAGATACTAACTCACTCAAAACATTGGTGGATGTGTTACTCAATTTCAAGGATTAGTAGAAGTTAGACATTAACTCAGTTGGATGCCGGTCTAGTGGTTAATCGCTTGCACGCGAAACTGATAGGTCCTGGGTTCGAATCTCACGAGGCGGAATCGTGGATGCGCATTGCTGAGGAGTCTCACAATAGAAACGGCTATTCATTACTTTCAGGTTTTCCATAGTGGTCTAGCTTCAATTGATTCATGATGTCAACCATTAAAATTAAAAATATTAGTTGACTACATAATGAAGTAACTGAGTACTTGTTGGTAGCATTTCGGAATAACGTGACTTGATAACAGTCAGTCAGAAATAAAATTAACGTTTGGAATAATCGTCAATGATGTAATAAAATGAAGATATTGTTACCTTGGTAAGAAAAGATTTGTCATTTTACCTGTAAGCACATAAATTCACTTTAAGGCATCTGATTTCTACGAATTCAACAAATTTTAGAAGACTAGAGTTCAGTTATCTATTAGTTACTTTGACATATTGATCCAATTTGGTCGTTTCAGAATATTACATGCTACATAATTCATGTAAAGATTCGAGAAGAGGAACATGTGAATACAAGTATCATGTATACATATTGGAAAACCAATTGGAATCGTCTTCTGACTCCACAGGTGAGTAAAATTCTATTAGTGTTTTGATATTTAGTCGATCGAATCAAATCAAATATTGCATAGATTGACTAAAGTTGGCAAACTTTTGATCCATTTTCAAAGCTATGCATTCACAAATATATATTTACTTCTCAAAATTGCAATAAAATGTTTATCAGTAATGGTAATAATAGTATTAATAAGATTTCTAAACATTGTAACAAATATATTCACTTGGTTATTGTTTACTTGAATCTTTCCATTGATGAATAGGACTGCAATTGATCAGTCTCTTTTTGGTATTTGTGCATAATGTGCGGACTGCCCGGATATTGCCTTGGGTCACATGCATTATATACAAAGATCGATAGTGGCTAGCAGTGGAATCCAGTTGGGCGCGCGTCTCGTCTTATTTTGGACTCGTCAGCTGGATGTATCTGCGTCTGACTTGATGTTCATTCTGAGACTCGTACTCAGTACTGTTCGCTTATACCTCCATCGCGTTATTCACTTAGACACTGAGTCCTGATAGCCACTTACTTGTGCGTCTTTGATTATAATGCTTGTGAATTAAGGTAATATTGAGGCAACACACACAGTATAAACCTATGTCAATAAGAGACTGATCAATTTAAGTCTTAAACATCAATGGGAAAATTCAAGTGATAAAAAACAATTCCAAATGAATTTAAAATTCACCACGTTGCACAAGCAAGTAGCTATCAGGACCCAGTAGCTAAGTGGATAACGCGCGATGGCGTTTGAAGCGAACGGTACTGAGATGCAGGTACATCCAGCTGATGAGTTTCAAATAGGACGTGACGCGTGCCAAACTGGTATCCACTGCTATCCACTATCCATCTTTGCATATTGTTATTAATTAGTTTTTCTTCTTTGTAGTTGTTTCATTATTAATATAAAACTACACTTTTTAGTCTGATTAACTGAAACATATTAAAAACTGTCTCCATTGAGTAGCATATGATACGCAACGCTAACGTCGAAATTTACAATTGATTGATCACTGGGTAGTGATCAATGTCATGTATGTCGGGTCCTTCTTAGTGCAGATCGAATCCTATCGACCAGGTTGCGATGTAGCCACTAATTTAGGTGATTCAACATTGCGTGCACTATGTTGAGATAGGATGGTGATTGGAGGGTTTCCTGTTGACTACCTCCAACCACTATCTTAGCGTAGAAATCGTTTACAATCAAGTTAGGGAGGCAAACGATAATGTAAGTGTTAGTTCATTTAATCATCGACTGTTGGATTTAAACACATTGTTGATAACCCTAATCTATGATCATAGATGTTGAGTGATATCACTCAAAATCAGTGTTTGATGGCGTACTTAGGTTCAATCGATATCCTTCACTTTTCATATTGTTAATTCTCATCTTAATATATCGATATGTAGTGTAACAATTTAGGTTGATTCACATTTTTTTAACACTTTGCTTACTTTTGACTCATTAAGCATTTCATCTGACCACTCTAAGCAACAATGCAAACATGTTCGGGATGCGATTCTTCCCCTTCGAAATGCAAAATCTTACTTCACGATTTGGTTGCATCGACACCTTAACTAGCGATAGGGAATGAAGTAGTTGAGCGTGTCGACCGCCTCACTTATCTCACTTATATTGGGAGTCTCATCAGCCCTTGTGGTCTGGTGTGTGACGAAATCTCATCACGGATACAGAAGGCTCGACTAGCTTTAGCTAACTTGCGTCATTTATGGCGTAAACGAGATGTCCTTCTACCAACCAAAGGATGGATTTACTGCGCAGTAGTTCCTTTCGTCTTACTTTATGGCAGTGAAACATGGCCGGCAAGAGTAGAGGATATTCGTAAGTTACTAGTGTTCGACCATAAGTGTCTTTGAAACATTGCTCTTATATCCTGGGACCACCGAGTAAATAACTCAGCTGTTAGGAAACGGGTACTAGATAAGGATGGCAAATCAATTGATGAATTAGTGAAAATTCATCAGTTGAGATGGCTGTAACATGTGTTACGAAGGCCCAACCACCGAATGCTTCAACGCGCAATGTTCTATGATGTAGGAGTAGGTTTGAAGAAATCTAGGGAGGGGGCAAACTAAAACATGGCACAAGTCCATGAATTCACTGACAAGTGGACTGAGCCATGTTGGAAGGTGTAGACTACCTGATTGAGATCGGCGCGATGATAGCGACCGATGGTTAGAGACGATGAATGATATGGCTTAAGATAATTTGCTATGGTGCAGGTGCATCCACTCTTTGTGTTCTCCCGAATTCTAATCTTCTGAGTTCTTCATGTCCTTTATTTTTTCTCTTTCGAAATTTATTTCATTGAATTATACCCCTTGAATAACATCATCCCGACTACTGCCTATACTTTTACTACCTCTACCACTATGGAGTTTGAATTGACAATTGCTTCTCTGTCAACTTGCTTCGCTGGCAACTCGAACTGATGTACGTACGTGTGGAGTTCTACGTTGTTACTGACTGATTCATGATGCGTTGTTTGAATACAAACATTTAAATAGAGTTATCATCATTGTTTCTTGATTTCAGGGTAATTTATTCTCAATGTAGTGGTAACCTTTCCATAATGTCTTATTGTTTTTTCTTCTGTTTTGAATAGATCCTTTTTGATGCTGGTGAAAATATGAACACAATTGATGAAACTACTATTTTACCAACGAAAACAATCACATCATATATAAATAATGATAAAGTTTTTCAAACATGGCAACCATGTTGTTTCATATGTCTTTCTATAGAAACTACTTATAATCTACGTGTACTTTTACCATGTCGACATGCAGTGATTTGTTCAGATTGTTTTAAATCATTATATAAATCAGCAATGTTTACAGTAAATCATCATTTAATTGGATTTATTACTTGTCCAATATGTCGTACACCTATAAATTCAACATTATTATTACCTAGAATTAATTCTAATGATGAATTAGATAGTGAAGTCACTAATGTCATGAATGGTGATATCATAACTAATATTACAGAAATCTCTATGTGATTATGATTAGGTATAGGATCATTTATTTTCATACAGCGTAATGCATTCATAACCAGTGTAAAATAATATTTTATAATCATTATATTGTCTTTATTTTATTGATAGTTTTCAATTATTTTCCTATTCATGTGAAGTTAACGTCGTAAGTTTTTGTATATATGTCAGTCCCTTATGCCAATGAAAAACACACACGTTAAAATGAAACTACTTGTATTTTGTCAGTAGTATATTCCCGTAGATGATAAATATTATGAGAGGAATGATTTTAGATGTTACAGATTTGAAAAGCTTGGAAATGTATCCTGGAGCACATGGACACTGTTGGCTTGGAACTAGAGTTTATCACCTTCCCTAGATGTATCATTTGTACCCACCAGGTCGGTTAAAACGCCGGACATTCGCTTTTCATCCTCTCAATTTAATAAATAGCACCCCAGTGGCGAAAAGGCAGTAACTAGGACTTCTGTGGTAGCTGCTGTATACGCGTGGCCATGTGAGAGCATTTTGAGAGCGAGAGAGCTGTCTCCCCCATTCTCGACCTAACCAGGGTATTTGGTGGCTTACGAAGACATTCTGTAATTTTGCACTAAACAATAAATTGGTGTCGTGCACCAGAATTCGCGTTCACTACAGTAGTGCTAGTCGGAGAATCGAATATTCAGTTTGGGCATCTAGATACAGAAGAGGGGCGTTTGGGTTGCTTAATGGGTCTTGTTGGTCGCAGGTTATGTAACGGTGACCGTCTATTTCAAGTTTGCGCAGATTACAACTTGTTTCTGGATAGCACTGACTTCCGGCAAATTCATCTCTGATGTGTTACCTGGCGTTTTCCCTCTTCATCTTAAATCTAGACACAGACTGACCACATTTCGATCAGCTACCGGTGGCGTGGTTATATACAAGACTGTCGCTCCTCTTAGAATATTTATCTGGACTCCGATCATACTTTTGTTTGTGCTCATGTTACCTTGCGTTTCAGTGGCCAACAAATTCATCGTCCTAAACGGTTCATTTTCAGCAGATTAGTTACAGTTTCTGATGCAACTAAATATCAAACCGAGTTAGGTTCACGACTAGCTATCATCCCACTGAAAAGTATAAATTTGCACTGGTTGCAATAGTATGGTTCCATGAAAATGGCAAGTTACGTAGCTTGTGACTTCAGGAAACGTTCCGCTTTTAAGCACTAGGTTTCTTGCGGTTCCTTACAACTCATTGGAGCCAGTCGGTTTATTAAGGATGATCGAGAGTTTGATCATAAACTAAGACTGTTACTCAATTAAATTGTGATAAGCTTGTGTAAAGTCCGATAAACCTGGTGGTCGGAGCGTGCCAATGATTTAGAAGCAGTAACTACATCTGGCAACTGCTGGAATCTCAGTTCATCTGAGTCACTGGCAGCAAGAAGTCTGATGTGAATGAATTAATCTGTAAAGATGATGGAATGCCAGTCACCATGATCTACCGACGTCTTGAACGATAGTTCGGGTTTTTCCAGTACCAGTTCAACAGGTCTGCCGTCCTAGCGACATCGTTCAGACTGTTATGACAAAGTTTCGATTTGGCAACCTGTCTGTGTGACTCAACATCGCGTGTACTGTGTTGAGATGAGACTGTGTTTTGAGGTAATCATCAGAAAACTTTGGGTATAAGTTTCGGACTATTTATCACTCGTCAAGAAGACGGTGCTTTAATCATGAAGGACCTAATTACACTTGAAGGGTTTGATCCATATCACCCAGCTTCACAGTTAAAGACGTTACCATTGAGCTATCTTGGCCGCAATTGGGCTCCTATAGAACCTGAATAACTCAACTGTAACGTCTCTAACTGTGAAGCTGGGAGAAACGGGATCGAATTCCTCAGTGAGCATTAGGTCCCACATGATTACAGCCACTCCTTCTTGACAAATGCCAAATAATCCAAAATGTGGATTTAAGTTTTCCTGTTGGCAACATCCAAACATCTCTCGATATTGAGCCATCTAGAATAGTAGCCAGATTGCAACTTGGCCGATAGAATTCGATCTGCACTAAGAAGGACCTGACGCACATAACTTTGATTACCACTCAGTGATCAATTAATTGTAAGTAATGGTATGTGACAGCAGTCCGTAAATAAATCACACATTTTATTTGGTACATTTTTGCTGTTAACTTGAAATTCATTTTACGTCGTATTTCCTAGTCTAAGTGTAGTAAGGGATCAAGCTTTTTTATCTGATTGTCAGATATTATTCTTCATGGAAACATTGTTATCAAATTCTTTCATAACCATTTAATCTAAAGTTCATAAAGCATAGAAATCTACTTCTATAAGTTAAAATCAGTAGAATGATTCATTCCATTTGAAATTAATCATGAAATATTCAGTAAAATTAATTGAATAATTTGTAATTAGTATAATGTGATCAACAAGTTAATTTTCACGATTTTTGACCGTTTTTTCTATACTACTTAATCAGTAGTATAATTTTGTATCGAAAAATAATCTGAAAAGAGCATGAATACAAAACTGGTTGAAGTTTTGATGAATAGATCTGTCCTTAGTTGTGATCCTTAATATTATGACTAAAATGTAATCAAAGAAAGTAATTCATCAAGTAACAGATCTTTAGACAGCAATTCTGTACATTTTAATATGAACGCATGAAAAACTACTTTGAAAGTTTTTGGTTGACATCATGAATCGATTGATGTTAGAGCACCATTGAAAACCTGGAAGCATTGGACGATCGTTTCGTACTATTGTGCGACTCCTCAACAGTGCTCGTCCATGATCCCACTCGGGGGACTCGAACCCAGGACCTTCACTTTCGCACGTGAACGCTTATCTCTAGACCACTGAGCCGGCATCCGATGGTGTTAATGTCTAACCTCAACCTATTCACTTTGAAAACAGTGCAAATATTGAGTTCGCATTTTGTAATAATCAACCACTCTGTGAATTGACTAATACTCAATCAGAAGATATTCTTATTAATAAATTACACTTGGGTTGATTCAATTAATCAATGCTCCGATCGGGAAGCTTGTATATTCTTCCGAATATTCTGATGATGAATCCCCATTATAATCAGAATTTGAACCTTCTCCTAGTTATAACACAGTACAATTACTATGTAGCTATATATACAATTCTTTAGATAGACATAATCAATATTAGGATTTAACTTTTCGTTTAAGCTCACAAAAGAACACAAGGTCAGATCAAAATTCGTTTCCAATTATTAACTATACGATCACGATTTCGACAATGGCACAATCTCACAAGTCTGGATTCAGTCACAGTATTAGTGTTCATCAGACTGATTATACGCTAATGATGAAGCCAAGTTCAAATCTAGTCACAAGTGACTTATCTTGAGAGAATTCTCTCAACAATTAAAACCTAACAGTTGATTATTGTATTTGTATTAATAGAGATATTGGTAGATATCAAACTACTAGTTTATGGGTGTTAATTTCATGGGAATATAACAAACCATAGTCAATCAGTCCTCTAAAATCATACACACCCAAATATTATTGAAAAATATATTCCATAGCTTTCTGTTACTGTTTTTCTTTCTAATGTGGCTTTTATTTGTCAATTTATAATTACTAACTTATTTTTTTAAAAATCTGACATATATATACAGCATATTATTATTTCGTTGAATAATCTCATGATTGAATATCGTGAATTGTCTCGATCTTATGTATCAACATACAGAAACGTGCTACAATTTTCTTCCGGTCCCCAAATGCCTTGGTACGGACGAGAGTGGGGAGTGTCTGCTCTCTCTCGAAATGCTCTCACATGGACACGCGTATACAGTCAATGCTACGGAAGCTTTACTCACTGCCTTCTCGTAGTGGGACTATTGTTTACGAAATCGAGAGAACGAAAGGCGAATGTTCGGCGTTCTAATCGAGTTGATGGACAGGGAGGATCCATCTAAGGGAGTTGGAAAGCCCTGATTCCAAACCAATGGTACGCATGGTCTTGTTCCAGTATCCTGAAGGAACAAATGTTGTACGAACCAATTGTTGGTTACCGGTTACTATGGGATTTCATCTCCTTACGTCGCCTCACTGCCTTATGGGTTAGATCTCTGGGTTAAAGGCTACAGGTGTGACCTCCTAAGAAAACCAGCTGTTTCGGTTCGGGCACTCGGGCAGTATTACAGCCCTCACACGAATTAATGATTTGTGCGATGCATATATATTTGGTGCCTCCTTGTACCAATGTTTATGTGTTCAACTAAATAAATCAATTACAATTTAACTATTATAAAAACTCGATAGTGTCTCAATTCGTCATTACATGAATGACAATACCTCATACAATGGATGAAGGGTTGCGCAAGATCATGGATCGATTGACGGTAGACATTAACTTTTGGATGCTGGCTTAGTAGTCAAGAGTTTCAGCATTCACGCACGAAATCAGAGGTCCTGAATTCGTGTCCCTTTGATGCGGAGTTGTGGACACATTGATGAAGGGTTCCATACAAGGATGAAGGGACCATCCAGTACTCCTAAGTTTTCAATGGTAATCTATCTTAGATGGACTCGTTATTTCACCTGTGAAAAGATATTATAGTTGTTTAATACAAGCAAGATATAAATAGAGTAAATTTTAAATGTTAAATAGTCATCATACCAAACTAAATATCTATTGATCAATTCAAATTTTTCTACTTAAGACGATGTGAGGATGATCCACGAGTTAACTCAAGGAAGTTCAGAAAGAGCCGAAGACATTCCATCCAATCATCTTTTGGAAGAATATTCCAGAACCTCGATGTATATTCCTTATTAGACAAACCACTGTATAGGGATTGGATGACTAGATTGATGATTTCGTTTTTACTAAAAACTATAAATACCTGAGAGTTTTGTACCATATTTAATATAGTTTCTGAATAGAATTCCTTTCACTTGTGCACTATCTTCTCATTTGCGACTTGGAGGATTCTAGCGTTCTATTGTTCAATTAGTACACCGTATACCACT